GGAAGTGTTAAGCAGAATGAAAAAAGAACAATGTCATGGGGAAATTGTGGCTTTCAAAATTTATTTTTACTCCTTTCTTCTGCCGTTTCCAGCTTCAACAATAGAACAAGGTGAAGAGAGAACAACAAAATATAGCATTAGTTTCCCCACCCCCAATAAAGTAATTCACGTATACAGTATACATTCTCTTTTTTCACAGTAAACCTAGGGGGGAGGAGACAAAAAAAAACAGAAGGGAAAAACACTTTTTACAACTTCTTCCACTGTGTGCATGCCAACTAAATGGGAAAGGCAAGAGAGAAAAGAGAAACACAACTTTTATTTTTCTTTTGTTTTCCTTTTTCTTTCTTTTTTAAAGGGTAAAAACACTTTAAAAGACAAACAGATAAATAAAACAAAATGAGAATCCAAAAGGTAAGAGGGTCTGTGACAATCAAAAATGAAGACAACTACAGCATAAATAGGCAGTTTCATGTTGTTGGGTATATTTTCAGAGCTACCTGCAGAAAGGGAGTTTAACCACAACACAGAAAAATGCAGAGAGAGACAAGGAATGAGAGGGATACACACACACACAGACACACACACACAGAGAGAGAAAGAGAGAGAGAGTCAGAGAGACAGAGAGAGAGAGAGAGAGAGGTGTATTTCAGAGGAGGGATGAGAAAAAAGAAAAATAGAAGTAAGGAAGAAAGTCTTCAAAAGTGCAATGCTGTGTATATTTTGTACATCATTTCCATAGCACTGGTCTCGAACAAGAAAAGGGGAAGAGAAGGAGAGGAGGTGGAGAAAAAAGAGGGGGGGGACAGGGAATTTTTTCACAGCCATGGTTAACAGAAGCTATTGCATTACACTATTACTAATTTTTAACGGGCCAGAAGATGAAAAATAACAAACAACAAGGCTAAAAAGACCCCAGGATGTTTCGTTTTTTTTTTTAAATATATAGTTCATTGTATGTATCAAAGGACAACCAGGAGAAGAAGACGCTCACAGCTATATTGTTTTACAGCAATAAAAGGCGAGATTCCCCTCCCCAAGCAGTATTTATCCTCCCCCCCATCGGAACCACCGCTCACATTAACTGGAATTAATGGAAGGATGGGGGGGGGGGCGGCTTTCTGAGGCTTGCCTGTCCAGTCTTCCAGCGCCTACTTTTTGTCCCCCGTCTGTGCTTCTCCGNATTTTCAAAAAGAATCAGAAAATATAAAATAGTAAAAACAAACAAACGGGGATAGCTGTTAACAGCTTGCGAAGGACAACAGCAAAGAATTGTTAACCTTCTTTAAGTAATCAATGCTTTGAAAGAAAGGAAAGGAAAAGAAAGGAAAGGAAAAAGAGTTATAGGAAAAATAGATTCAAGGTTCTCTTTTAAAAAAAAAAAATCACCTGAATATTTCCTTTTAAATCGGTTATTTAACCCTTTTTTCTTGATCACAGAACGTTATTAGCTCACAGTCTCATATTTTAGCTTAATTTGGCGTGAGATATTAAGGCTGGTTAGATGGCTTGGGAAAGAGGATTGGGGAGATTTACCTAAGAGGAACTTAAGCCAATGTTTTAGAGGCTATGAAAATGTTATGTATGTTTTAGCAGATGTAGAATGGGACAGAGAATTATGGCTGTTTCTTTGATTTATTATATGTGTGGTGTGCGCTCCACATAACTCTTTTGTGCAGTAACAATAAAAAAATCCATATTAAAGTTAAATGTCAGCTCCAATATATTCTTGATGAAAAGGTCTTTTATTTAAGTTTAGGCTAAGCAACTGGAAGTGCGCGAGGGGGGGGACTTTCGTCGGTCTAACTTCTGTAGTGTTTAAGGAATTGTTTCCCTGTTCACATTAAGGAAATCGCAGCTTTTTTAAAGCAGCTTTTTAAATTTATTTTTTACTACCATACACCTCATGGACATATAGATATATTTCTCAGAAACAATGTGGGGAGAAGGAAAACACATCCTAAATTATGAACATAACAAGTGTTTTTCTCAATGTGTATTTGTTTTTATCTTTTTTATTCTTTTTATAGGTCTTTTAAAATTTCCATAGCTAACACAAACTACAAATACAACACTATACAAATTGTAATAAAATAACTGATTATTTTTTTAAAAAAAACTCTTTAAAAAAATCCACCATACTTTTTAGGTTGCAATTGTTCCTTTTTAATATAATTTTGCTTAAAACAATAATCCTTAAATGACAGAGAACCCAGGGCTTGATTAACTTAATTTTATATAAAAAAGCAAACAAATAAGTAAAATCGTGCATGACACTTCTGTTTTACAAAATAAAGACAATCAAATAGCCCAAATCTGACACATATATTGCAGCACCTCCACTTAAATACAAGGGTTAACAAGAATCCTAAGGAGGACACCCAAAGGTAAATCAAACAAAACAAAACACAACCACAACCCCATCTGTGGCAAAGGGAAGGGGCAATAAAGAGAGTGGGGAAATAAATTTGACTAGAAACATGGTTATGATACGACAAATTCAATAATCCAATGCAACTGAGGGTGTAAAAGGACAACACCACCATACAGTCTCAAATATTTTACAAAAATGTTTGTCCCAGTTGTGCCTTTTGGGTGGGAGGAGT